GAGGATGCGATGGGTATGGTTAGCCGCAGCTCAGGAAATAAGTGATTCTTAATATACTCATATGATTATGTATTTGTGCTATGAATTGCTATGCAAGCTAGATTGTAGACTAAAGGTCTATTTAGGAATTGCATGCTAGAACTACCTGATTTGTATATATGCTTCGTATGCCTTGTATGTGCAAATTGCAGTATGTGTTTTGGAATCTTTGCCTGATATTGTTGAACTGCTAATCAAATTCCATTAGGGCTGTACATAATTGGAATCTAATAGCATGAAAATTTCCGTTTTGGCCTTATTACTTGTTCCTTATCTGGTTGTAGTTTTAGGGTAGAGTCATTTATTCAAATGTCTATTTCATTCTGGATTATGTACGACTATGCATTCGTGAGACATTTCTTGTGTGTTAGTTGAGGCTTGTTCAGATTGCGGGTTTGTGGGAAGGGAGAATCCTCGAAGAGAGTCTAGGAAATGTAATATTATGCATATGGCTAGACCTATGCATGTGTGTGAGGAGTTTAGTGAAGTGATGTGAAGTGACTTAGGAGTCTTGGAACAGCCTTTGGAACGGGTATAGATAGGTGTGGACGGTGGTATTAAGACCGTACTACTAAAAGCCCAGGATCCATACTTGGGTCAAGGAAATGTTTCAAAGATAAAAAGAAAACTGTAGGTGGGTATGCATAGGATGGGTTAACACTGTGCATTGATTTTGATGTTATCTCGTTATGTTTCAGATTCAGGATGGTGACCTTTCTTGTTGGAGATTCAACAATGTGCATTGATTTTATATATAAGGAACATACAAATTGATTTCATTTTGATTAAAAAACACATATTTCTTTCATTGTTAGCTTCTTTCTATTGCTTTTAAACCCATATTATTATTGATTTCGTGATTTATCCACAACATCTGTGTATTTCAAATGTGTTTTTTATTAGACATCTAGTAGACTTCATAACGTCCTCCGACTCCTACCTTAGGTATACTTGCATGGTTTTTTTGATGAGTTATGTAAAGAGGTTTATTGGTTATTTTAATAAACATTTTCAGTCTTTCACAATAGTTGTTTGTATTAAATTTCAATATGGACACATACAGGTAGTTAGTGAAATATTTTTATAGACGGTTTGTGGTGCAAAATTAAAGTTATAAAATTCAATAAAAAATATGTACAAAGCTTAGCATAAGTTCTAATAGAGGATGCAATAAAGTTAGTGGAAATATTTGATTGCATTTTGTTAAAACTTTATAGTTTTTTATGGTTCTATACCTAATATTAGGTACATAACAACCAATATTCAAGCCATGTATATATATATATATATATATATATATATATATATATATATATATATATATATATATATATATATGGAAAAGTGAATATATATATATTTATAGTTTTTGATTTCGTGATTCATCCTCAACATTTATGTATTTCGAGTGTATTTTTTTTATTAGACCTCTAATACACTTCGTAACTTCCTTCAACACCTACCTTATGTATACTTTCATGGTTTTTTTTATGGGATATGGAATTAGGTTTATAGGGCTTTTTTTAATGAAATTCAATCTTTCAATATAATTTCCTATTTTAAATTTCAATATGGAGACCTACATGTCGTTGGTAAATATTTTTATACACGGTTTGTCGTGCAAAATTAAACTTATAAAACTTTATAATAATATATATACAAAGCCTAGAATAAGCTCTAATATAGGATGCAAGAAAGATGATAGAGAGATTTAATTGTATTTGGTTAAAACTATGTGGTTTTTGCCAACACTATTCCTAATATTAGGTACATAACAGTCACATATTTCCCAAGCTCATATATATATATATATATATATATATATATATATATATATATATATATATATATATATATATATATAGCGCCCGAGTCGCCATGTATGAAAGTAATATATTATCCTATTTAATTAAGCTAAAGGTGGTGAAGGGGTTCGTGAGTACGCTGGGCATACATTAGGTACATACGACGTACTCCTCGCATGCACATCATCGGGGTGATCCTGGCAAGCGCTGGGCGTACCCATGCGTACGCTGGGCGTACTCTAGTCAGGGGAAAACCCAAACTTTTAGGGTTTGCACCCTATTTAAGGTCCTTAAGTTCTTCAATTACATCACCCTTTCAGCCTTCTTTGCCTTTTAGTGCTAATCTTGAAACCCTAATCACTCTGAGTGCATTTTTAAGCTTACATTGAGTGTTTGGGTGTTCTTTGGTGGTTTTGAAGAAGAAGAAAAAGTTCGATAAGAAGCAAAGAAGAAGAAGGATCTTGTAGATCCAGAGTTTGTGCATTATTTCTAGCCTATTGAAGGTATAAAGTCTGAAACTTGTTCATTCTAAGTTTAGATCTAGACTTAGGGAATATTTTAGCATTTTTTGGTCCCATAACTTGGTCTTTTGGAGTATGGGCTACTCCAGCCCATTTGAGTTGTCCTTTTGTACTCTTGGGAGTGCATGGATCCATAAAAATTGTATCTTGGAGGTTAAGACTCAATCATGTATGTGTTAGTGACCACCTAAGAGAGTGAGAGGGCTTCATTCATGGTTTGAGTCCCATTAAGGCATGCAAGTGCATAAAGTTTGCAAATTTATGGCTTAAGACACTATTATGAGCTTGGATCTAAGGTTTAGACTTTAGGGCTTAATGGATTAAGACATGGGTGCAAGATTAGGCTAACTGGACAGTACGTCGGGCGTACTCTAGAGTATGTTGCGCGTATTGGGCCAGTGCCCCGTTTCCGGATCGTCATTAGCGTACGCTGGGTATATAAGCCATGCATGCCGTGCGTACGTAGTCTGTGGACTTAGAAGATTTTTGGGCTCAAGTATTGTTGGGCTTTTGACTTGGTTAGGTTTGGGCCTCATGCCCACTTGTTGTAGTAAGGCATTTGTGGGCTTTAGGCCATGTTGGGTACTCTTGGGCCATATTGGGCCTTAAAGGCCTTGTAGTTGGGCTTGAATGCCTTCTTGGACTTGTATGGATTTGGGCCTTGGTGGGAGGAAGGCCCAATGAGGTAAGGGTGAAGAAACCCTTTTTGCCTTAAAGTCAAGAATGAGGGTTTGGACTTTCGGGTTAGAATATTGGCGTAATTTCTAATTAGGGTTTTATACTTGTGCCTTAGGGAGAGGATTTCGCAAGTCATCCGTTGAGTGCGATTTGATACCTTCATGGCTTGTACACCGTATTTTTAATCTCTTAAAAATACGAGTTTGAAGGCCCTTGGAATCTCTTAAAAGATCTCCCGTATTTTTAATTTGTATTGTTTGTTTTTATTAGGTTATTTATATGCACCGGTTTGTATTACGTTATTTATATGTATTTGGTTTGTATTAGATAATTTACGAAACCAGTTGAGTTAACTTCTACTTTATTCCATAGAACATAAAATACAAAACAGTACAAATACATGGAAAGCATACATCAGTAGCAAACATATTACATAAAACATTTCACATAAAAAACCCTTCTACATGAAATACTGGTGGTTCTTAACTAGATTCCAAGCGTCCACATACTCGAAGTCTTTTCCCTCATGCTCGAAAATGTAATGATCTAAAATCATTTCTACAAGAGCTTCCTCGTTTGAGTAATAATAATTACTACTATTTTTAAGATGATGATACCATCGATTGAACCATGTGATTTCGTTCTTTATCTCCATCCACTTACTAAGAATATCTACTTGTACCCGATATTCTCCTTATCCAAATGAGAGGTTGAACATACCTGTTGTGCGAGTCCATTCATCACCTCCAAGGTAATCAGGGGTAACCATTGTTGTTACACCTTCGAAAATGTTCAACCAACATCGTATTATAACCATCGCCTCTCTTGTTGTCCATGGACGTGGAGTATCGAACGACGATGTTGCATTCGTAGAAGTTGGTGCACTGGAGGCCATTTCTATATTTTTCAATACCGGGGTGAGTTGATACATTATTTAATCGGTATGACAATTTATACACTAATCCGTACAGATGTACACTGATCTGCAGAGGTGTACACTGATCCGTTGATAACAGTTTTGTGGATTCCCAAACAGTTTTGTGGACTGATATTAAACATAAGTTCATTATTTTTAACATTTTTTTGTTAAATTATTTACATAATCACATAAGGTATTAGTGTATTTAAAAAAAATAATATTAATAAACGAAAAAGAACGCAAAAAAAAAAAACGAAAAAACGAAAAAACGAAAAAAAAAATTAAAAAAATCAAAATACATAGATTCCGTAGAGCTGTAAGGATCCCCAGAGCATTTAATGGATCCGCAGAGGGTGCTCTGCGGATCTTTTGGTCATTTTCCAAAATATGTTTTTTCTTAGTTATTTTCTTCAAACCAACCTCGTTTTTTGGTTATTGTCCGAATTATATATATATATATATATATATATATATATATATATATATATATATATATATATATATATAATGATTAGAAACATAGAGGGTGAGCATATAGCTGGCATCTTTTTATTGTCCTTTTCAATCTTTGCTGGTTGTTGTGTTTTCTTCTTTTTATTTTTATTTAATAAAATGTGTGCTGTTTGTTGAAGAAGCAAACAAGACGCCAAGTAAAATAACATAATAAATCAATTAATTAAACAAAATGATATCTCTCACTGTTTGGGATCTAGGCTACAATTAGTTAATTTGGGTAAAATTTAATCTCATCAACTCGTAATATATGAATAATAAATTTCGATCAATTCATTGAACGTGTACAATGTCGTTTATCTAATATAAAAATAATTAAGAAAAACTGCACATTAATTTATTGTTAAGTATCTTTATCTGATCATTAAATTATATAGATTGATTTGATTGTTATTGTTATAAATTATTTAATGATATTAAATGTTTATTAAACTAATTTTCAAATTTAACACTGTAGTTTTGGAAACATGACGGAATAATAAAATGCATGTTAGTGTGGACACCGTTTCTTCCAAGGCTTTGCTTTTATTCTTTCCCCCCTTCTTATATATATCCATACATTTATCCTTTTCTCTTTCCATGATTGCATACACCAAATACACTCAGCGATTGTGTAAACCTGCGTGCGTTTCCTTTGAACCAAAACATAAAGCAAACCAAACCAAATTCTTAATTTTGGTTGCTTTGTTCACCTGTGTTAGTTACAGAAACCATAAGTTGCAATTCTATAAAAGTGGGTCAGAATCTTGGTTCTTTCTTCATTCATGGTTTTCCTCCTTCTTAAGTTTTCAAAAACTTCATGAACACTTCTCAAAAACCCTTCTTTTTTACATTTTCCACTAGTGGGTGCTTTCAAATTTTCATATATTAGTGTTACAATTTGATCTGAATTTTCAAAATAAGAGAATGTTGGGTTTGAAATCAAGAAACCCTGGAATGTTTCCGGCAGCAAAAGGCGGAACTTCCTCCCCCGGTGGTGGTGGTGGTAGTAGGGAGGCCGGTGTGGCTGCTTGGGAACTCAGGCCATGTGGAATGTTGGTGCAGAAGAGGAACTCAGATGTTACTCAAAGTCAAACCCTAGTTCCTACCATTAAAGTCAAAGTCAAATTTGGTTCATCTTATCATGAAGTCAACATTAAATCTCAAGCAACTTTTGGTAAATTATAATATTTTTTTAGTTAATTATTCTTATTTACACTTATTGGTATTATACAAGATATATATTGGTCCATTATAGGCTATATGGTTGTGGCAATAAATCAATAATGCATCTTACATAATAAAAGTGTCTGTATATCACTATATATAGTTGACAAAAATAACCTTCTTAGTATATTCATTTGTGTTTATAGTTGTGAACCTAAATTTGATGTTGGGTATACAGGAGAATTGAAGAAAATGTTAGCAGGGCCAACAGGATTAAATCCGTTGGATCAAAAATTGGTATTTAGAGACAAAGAAAGAGACTCCAAAGCATATTTGGATGTGGCAGGTGTCAAAGACGGATCAAGAATGGTACTCTTTGATGATATATTGAGTCGAGAAAAAAGACTTCTTGAAAATCTCCAATCTAAGAAAATGAAAAAATCTGAAAAGGAAATTGTCGACGTCACTATAGAAATTGATAAGCTTGCTAAACAGGTAAAAATATTAAAAAAAAAGGAAGCTAAATTGTACAAAATCTACTATTCATGCATTAAGTTTCTGATTTTTTTTTTTATCTATGAAACATCATGTGTACAGGTTGGTAATCTGGAAATAGAGATATATAGCGGAAAGAAAGTGGTGGAGAAAGTTTTGTTGAATTTGATCGAGTTGTTGATGTCACAATTGATCAAACTAGATGGAATAATAGCTGATGGGGATGTGAAATTACAGAGAAGAATGCAGGTAAATTTGAATCAAGTTTCGTCAATGCAAACGTATAAATTCAATTTTTTTTGTTTTACTTTTTGTTTTTTGTTTTTTACACACGCACCAAAATTATGCATTAAAACTATTGACATTATATTTTTTGAATAAATGTTTAGGTAAAGAGAGTACAAAGATATATAGAAAATCTTGATGTGTTGAAGATTCGAAATTCCAAAAATGGAAGGAATGGCGATTGGGCTAACATACAAGCTCCGTCGCAGCGACACTCAAATAAGATTTCATTTGAGCAAAAACTCATGACACCAATGGAAAGGCAGCGAGACTCGATGAAGTGGCCAATCGTGGCCACGGCTGAATGGGAGAAATTTTGATTTGGGAAATTTACCAAGGAAAAATCCATCAAAGAAAGAGCTAAAGAGTGAGAGTTGCAATGAATTCTTTAAATTTATTCTCTTTTGGTATTTTGTATGTTCTACACGTCTATTATCTCTCTTGTTTGGGAGTAAATATCGTTTCAAATGACGTTCCTATGTTGTATATATACCCATGATATGGTGGACAATCAAGAGTTACTTTCTTATTATTCAACTATATGTAGTTTATATCCTTTGTTTACAAAATTTTTCCTATGAATTCCAAAATTATATTACACCAATTAGGGAGTATATAATACACAAGGTTAAAGGGTTATCAATGTAGGCTAACTATACATGGGCCACATGCTAAAAATAATTACAATATAACTATAACATATACGACTAACACCCCCAGGCAATCGGAACGGGAGGTCTAGAGCAGACAGAACGTCTGGATCTGAAGTTAAGAAATAAAGACGATGGAAGCCCTTTGGTGAAGATGTCAGCATACTGGGATGATGATGGGATGTGTAAAACTCGAATTTGACCCATAACAACTTTGTCTCGCACAAAGTGAATATCAATCTCTATGTGTTTAGTGCGTTGATGCTGAACAAGATTGGTGAAAAAAAACAAACAACACTGACGTTGTCACAATACACAAGCATTGCGGAAAAGGGGTGGATAGTGAAGCTCACGAAGTAACTTGCATAGCCAACAGGTCTTAGCAACTGTGTTTGCAACGCCACGATACTCGACCTCAGCACGGGACCGAGAGATGGTACCTTGTCTCTTTGAAGTCGAAGAGAAAAGATTTTGAACCATAAAAACACAGTAACCAGACATGGAATGACGAGTGTAGGGGCACCCAACCTAATCAGCATTAGAGTAGGAAATCAGTCCACGAGACGAAGATGCATATAGTTGAAGACCTTGATCAACTATACCACGAATATATCGCAAAATGCGCTTGAGAACAGTGAAATGAGGCTCTCGAGGATCATGCATGAAGAGGCAAACCTGCTGGACAACGTATGTGATGTCTGGTCTTGTGAAAGTGAGATACTGAAGGGCCCTTACATGGGTCCTGTAGAGAGTAGGGTCAGATACAGGAGGTCCGGTGCCATCAAATTTAGCTGAGGTGTCAGCTGGAGTGCGGGATGGCTTGCAATTTAGCATCTTAGCTCGCTCAAGTATTTTTGTGGCGTACTTTTGTTGAGATAAGATGTCACACCCCCGAACCTGGACGGCGGAAACGTCCGGGGGCGGATGACTTCGTGTACAGTATCATAACAATTGAATATAAATGAAGCATAACAACCAAACATCATACATTAGAAATACACACTTACATAGTTACATATTGAACTTGTTCATCAGTTACACAAAAGTAAGAAAGTAAAATTTCTTGAAGTTGCACCACTTGATCTCCTAGTCGAACTTACTACCTGTTACTGGATCCCTGAGAATACAAGTCGTTTTGAAAAGCGTCAACTAAAAAGTTGGTGAGTTCATAAGCAGTTTTGAATAAAAATGGTTTTTGTACTTGTTTAGAATCGTTTTCAAAGTGCTTTAAAAAAATCCGATATTTTCTAAAAAGAAATGGTTTGAAATATTTGTGTCTGATCTTATATTAATGCATGTGTGTTAATGGTTACAAAAATAGAAAGAGAATGACTTCCAGACAACCCGATGTTGTCTGCGATAGATGATGCTGGAGTTTCAACCCCCGTGGTTGAGTACCAGTGCGTATAGATTACCATTTTATCAAGAAGAAGGTTTCCCGTTTTATCCAAAAAGAACATAGGATGGTTTCCCGTTTTATCCAAAAAGAACATAGGATGGTTTCCCGTAAATCTTATAACGTTAATTCCTCTAAGTGAGTCGTTATAACCATACTAAATAATGACAATTTCGCCTGTCTTTGTGTCTTTGGGATGCCGACGGAATAGGATAAGGTTTTTGTCACCCTAGACCGCCCTAGTCTAACTGTAGCGAACAGCTCAGGTGTGGGGTGTCACCCCCGTATAGATTTAGACACAAACTCCCGCTTTCCCTCCAGGAAACTCTGGTTATAACTACAGGCTACGTTTGTACACTCATATGGTGCCAAACGAAAAGTCTCACTAGATCCTTAATCAAAGTTTACGCAAAAAAAAAGAAGAAAAACATATAAAACTTATTCCCAGGTCCAATAAACATGTAAGTGGACCACTAAGGACCACTATACGTGTCTATTATTTTCAGGCTCAAAAGGAATATGAATGTATATCCTGGGCCTAATATACATGTAAAAAGACAACCAAGGCCCACTAAACATGTAAAAGGACACTAAGGCCCACTAAACATGTAAAAGAACACTAAGGCCCACTAAACATGTATATTATTTCCAGACCCGATAAGGATATGAATATCGTTTTTAAGCCGTTTGTTATTGTTTTGTTTATTTTAGCTCGATTATTTACAAACTTGATATAAAAAGCCCACTTTTTTGTAAAAATGATGTTCTTGGCCCAATAAGCCACAAAATTTTCAATTAAGGCCCAATTATAGTAAAAATAACACTTTAGTCCCCATTTTGTTCAAAAACATCTTAGGGTAATGTTTCTAGTCCATTTCTAGCCAAAAAACTCGAAAATATGCAGTCTGGGGCTCCTACTCGTCGAGTGTATCAACCTACTCGCCGAGTAGGATGATTTTCTTCATGGACTCGGCGAGTTCATCAGTGGACTCAGCGAGTCCAGTGCCTAGAATGCTCGAAATTCGACTTTTTCAGCATTTTTCACCAATTTGCATCAAGTATAATTGAAAACAAGCCTAGTCTCTGATACCACTGTTGGGTTTTGAGCATTCTAACACTCCTAAGTGTACATGCAACCCTAAATACCTTGGATCTATGTTTTCTCTATTATACATGCAAATATGATTATCCAAGGTATTATCCTAACTAGCATACCAAAACATTGATACTAGGATAATAAAATAGATAGAATACATACCTTGTTGTTGTTGCTTGACTCCATGAAGCTTGAGAGCCTAGTGCCCCAAGTGTGACACCTCAAATGGTTCACACAACATCATGAACTCTTGGAATAACCATGAGAAGAAGACATACATGTTCAAATCGGCTAGCCCTCAAAATATGTATCACTAGTGCCAATTTCTTGAACTAAAGGGGTTCTTATATAGTGTGGCTATTAGGGTTACACCATGTAACTCATGACTTTACCCATTCCTTATGCTCCATGGGTTTTAACCTCCATGGAGTATCCATGGATCACCACATGGGTTAAACCCAACATAAAGGAATCTTGGATCATAAGCCCACATATATAAGAATGAATGATTTACACAATCAATCCCCATATATTTAATTAGTCTCTTTTTGATCACTAAATTAAGTCCAAATTAATTCTTGATCAATACTAATTAAATAACATGATTTCATATTAATATATTAGAACTTATAATATATTAATATGTCGCAAAATGTCTTTTCCTCATAAACAGTCTATCCAAATGTTCCGATGCCATGCAACCCAAATGGACCATGCCGAGTCGGGTCAAGTACATACCAATTATAGTTATTGACTTAGACACTAATCCAACAGTTTCCATGGGCAGACATGATTCTGTTGCGTGATGAGAAACAGGTTCGTGAGTAGCTATGGTTATTTCTAGTCGTATCCCATCTATGATTATAGATATGAACTTATACATGTACTCATATAAATCACATGTTTTGTTGCACGATTCTCGTTGTTTCGACCTACATCCCTATGATGTATTAATGGTAGTATGTAGAAAGAAGTATTGTACAAATGTTAAGTTACCCTAATAGATTATAGATATCAGATCCTTAAGTTGGCTCAGGTTACATGAGTTCTTGTAGGGCGTACCTCTCTTGATTTACTACTACTAGTTGTGACGAATTATATGGTAAACCTAGTACTTAATGCGAATAGTGTGATGGCTCTCATATGACTAAATAGCGTAGAGGTGTCCAACCATTTCGCTCATTTCACGAGTGGCCTCTTCCGCTCTCTGCTCTGCTAAGGCTGCCCTAGCCTCAGCTTCCATGAGTTGTTGCCTTAGGGTGGTCACCTCCTCTTCTAAGGGGCGGAGATGATTGGTAAGGTCTTCCTGTTCTGTGTGTTGGTTCGGTATTGCTTCCGAGGGGTAAGGCTCGCTAAGGATCTCTCCGGCACCTTCATCCATGTCTGACTCCTCATCAGAATCCTCTCCCTCGTGGTCCATCTCTTGGTATTCTTTAAGACCCATTTCTGGGTTCTCCCTTTGCACTTCCTCTGGTTCTCCCTCGATCCATTCGTTGGCTATTACCGTAGGGTAGTAGGGGTCTTCGGGGTGAAGCTCAGTCATGTTGTCTTCACGAGAGTGGAGGTATGAGATATATGTAGAAGATTTAAGTGTGGAGGTCATATGATATTCTAAAATGCTACTATAGTATTACATGTTTGATCCTAGGGCTTCCTGATGTACGAAATCGATACGTTTTTAGACTTGTTGTTATTGTTTAGTATCATAAAATACTCCTATAGTATTTTAAACCTTAGGTTTGGTTCTAATGCTCCTTTTCATGTAGGATTTGTAAGTTTTAGACTTGTTGCAACACCACCATCACTCCCAAACATATGTTGGTCGTATCTCGAATAAATACAGTTGATCAGGCTCTATTTATTCCAGATATGATTACATAACTGCCCAGATTTGACTGTAGTGTTCAACATCTAAATACTTTTGTTTTGTTCTTATTATGATACGGTTCTAGCAAGTATGTATACTTTTAGAAGATACTTATATTCTTAAGGTATACTTTTAGTCAGAGTGTTTTTAGTCTCATTGTATTTATAGTTGTATATCTTGTATGGTTAGATATACTAGTTCACTATAAACAATGCTCTGATACCAACCTGTCACACCCCCGAACCTGGACGGCGGAAACGTCCGGGGGCGGATGAATTCGTGTACAGTATCATAACAATTGAATATAAATGAAGCATAGCAACCAAACATCATACATTAGAAATACACACTTACATAGTTTACATATTGAACTTGTTCATCAGTTACACAAAAGTAAGAAAGTAAAATTTCTTGAAGTTGCACCACTTGATCTCCTAGTCGAACTTACTACCTGTTACTGGATCCCTGAGAATACAAGTCGTTTCGAAAAGCGTCAACTAAAAAGTTGGTGAGTTCATAAGCAGTTTT